TCTCTCTCTCTCTCTCTCTGTGCACACACACATGCATGTATGTTTGTGTGCATGCGTGTGTGTGACTTTTAGTTTTAGTTGTTTTATAAATTTTTATGTATCAGTGTTCTGTGTGCATATGTGGTACATGCCAGAAAAAGGCATCAAATCCCATTACATATGGTTGTGAGCCACCATGTCAGTGTTGAGAATTGAACTCAGGACTCTGGAAAAACAGACAGTGCTCTTAACCACTGAGCAATCTCTCCAGTACCCGTTTTTAGCTTTTTATGACTTGGGGGGGGGAGGCTTTTTTGTCTTCTTGGATTTTTGTTGCTTTTGATCTTCATTTCTTTCTTTTTAGAGACAGAGAGCATGAAATTTGGTAGAATGGGAAGTTGGGGAAGATCAGGGAAAAGTGGAGGGAGAGAAAAATACTATCAAGATTTATTGTACAAAAAGTCGTAAAGAAATGTTTTAAGCAGAACTATTAATATGATATGTTTTCTCATGTGTAGATTACCACAGTCAAAATAAAAAATGAAGTATTACTATATATGATAATAGCATGAAGTTTAACTGTGTTTTGTGTAAAATGATAAAAAAATCAGATTATATGAAACGGACAGAATGGTTAAACCTATGCTGATAGAAAACACTAGTTTTACCAGAGTCTAGGTGTCATGGAGTATTATAAGTGATTGCCTACAAGTACATAATGTATTTTGAAATCATAAAAATATTCTTAGATTAACTAATGTTGTAGACATATAGCTAGCTGAATATACTTTTAAAATCTCAATGTGTACTATAAAATGAATTGTTAGATTAATCTTCAATTTAAAAGCCTAGAAACAACTCACATTTCCATAAATACCCTTTCATAAAAAGTAGTTAAATGAAATATTATGGTAGGTCTACATGCTGGGATTATATGTAGCCACTAAAGAACTATTAAACTGTGAGGAGACAGGATATGTTATGCGAAAAAGTGCTAAGGTATTTCACTGTTAAAAACACTTGCTATGATTAGAGAGTAAAAAGCATAAATATCCTGGTAGAAGATTTTCACATACGTATGTGTATCCTCACCAAAAAGAAAAAAAAATTAAAAGTCATCATAATGACTAACTTTCAGCTTTTCATCTCATAAGCTTTTGGTATTGTATGGTTTTCTGTGCTGGAGAGATCAGCAGTTAACAGCACTTACTGCTCTTGAAATTAAGTCATTTCAGGGTCCAATACGGTGGCTAAATATGATGTGCTCAGAACTCCAGTTCCTGGGGATCCAGTGCCCTCTTCTGGCCTCTGTAGGCAATGTACATGATGCATAGACATACATTCAGGCAAAATGCACATGAATTCAATTAAAGTTTTCCTGACTTTATAATATTTATATCATATTTATTTAGACTCACTTTGGAGGCAGAGGCAGGCAGGACTCTGTTTGAGGTCATCCTGATCCACACAATGAGTTCTAGGCCAGCCCTGTCGCAAAAACAGGCAGCAAAAATAAAATAAAACAAGTGGTTTTGGAGATTGTAAATCAGGTTGTAAAGCTGATAAATACTTTCTGTTTTCTTCCTTATATCTTTTAGTTTTATAAAACATTCCTAGTCATGTTTGTGCAACAAAATAAGGCAAAGGAAAAAAAACTGTGTCGTGTCCCTCTAGTTCAATTTTCGTTTCTATTTTATGAAAATGTTACATGAATTCTATGTGTTTTGTCCTTAAATACAATTAATAAAGACAGATATCCTTCATGTAAACAAGCAAATATCACCCAAAGGTTAGCTCACTTTCTCTGAGAACTGTTAAGTATGAAAGCAATGTGGGTCCATTTTTAAAAACTGGTTTAACAGGCCATCAACTCAGCAAGCACCTGCTACTGGTTCTGAGGTTCATACTGCGCCAGATTTATGAGCTGGGGAAAAGATTAACTTGAAGAACAGGGGGTAGGGGGGAATCATTTTGAAAGTTCGGAGGAAAAAGGAGCCTGTTCCCTAACAAAGACAAACAAAAAATAGAAAGATGGTTGTAAATATGATGGTGGTTGCTAGGGAAAGGCGAAGGCGCGATGTGTATTTAATGAGAATAAAATGTTGAGAGACTCGCTGTAGAATTAGGTGAACATACTTAACACTACTGGCCTGCATATTTAGAAATGACTAAGATAATGAAAAATATGGAATGTGTATTTTGCCACAATCAGAAACAAACAAATGGCCTGGGAGTGTAGTTCAATTGGTCCAGGTTTCCATCTCAAGTAACACATAAACCAGTAGTGACAAATGCCTGTAATACCAGCACTTGAGAGGTGGAAGGAAGAAGCTAAGAATTCAAGGTAATTTTCCAAGCCTTACTGAGACCATATCTGTCTTAGTTAGGGTTTTACTGCTGTGAACACCATGACCAAGGCAACTCTTATAAAGACAATATTTAATTGGGGCTGACTTACAGGTTCAGAGGTTCAGTTCATTAGCATCAAGGTGGGAACATGGTAGCATCCAGGCAGGCATGGTACAGGAAGAGCTGAGAGTTCTACATCTTGTTACAAAGGCAAACAGGGGCTGGAGAGATGGCTTAGTTAAGAGCACTGTCAGCTCTTCCAGAGGTCCTGAGTTCAATTCCCAGCAACCATATGGTGGCTCACAACCAATTGTAATAAGATCTGATGCCCTCTTCTGATGTGTCTGAAGACAGCGACAATGTACTCACATACATGAAATAAATAAATCTTTTAAAACAAAAAACAAAAACCCAAGCAGACAACAACAACAAGGCAAACAGGAGGAAACTGGCTTCCAGGTAGCTAGGATTAGGCTCTTAAAGTCCACTCCCACCGTGATATACTTCCTCCAACAAGGCCACACCTCCTAATAGTGCCATTCCCTGGGCCAAGCATATTCAAACCACCACTGTCTCAAAAAAAGGGGGCAAAACTCAAAACAAATCTAGTTATATTATAAATAGTCCAGAGTGGCTATAGCAGTCTAAGCTGAAACTGTATCACCTCAAGTCAAATTTATCATACATCAAACCTTCCTGATTTTGCTAGAAATTTTAATTCTTGTCATTTTACCAAAGCTATCATTCATTTCTCTAAACTTGCTAAAACTATACCAATGAAACAATTGAACCTCAATCATTACTCTGATATATGTGATCTTGCATATTTGTGATGGGAATAGGCATAAAAAGATTATGACAATGCTAATTATTTTGAGAACCGATATGTCTTTAACTTGAATTATGTAACAGCTGAAGTGTACATCGGAGTGGAGGACTAACATTCCCTGAAATGCAAATGTAGAAGATAAGGAATAGATTAATTATTTTCACTGAGGAAGATCGGCTACCCAGAAGGCATTTGACAATGCCTTGTGGCATTTTTGGTTATCATAACTGAAGTGTAGGAAGTACTACTGGTATAACCATAGCTTAGAATATTATTCAACATCCTACAGTGTACTGTCAGGTCACCATCAGACACACACACAAACACACACACACACACACACACACACACACACACACACACACACAGATCTACCCTCAAAGGTCAACAGCAAAAGTTTCAGAAATCCTAGGCCACAGCCTTCTGAATTTTTTGCTTTACTTTTTCCTTTAACTTTATCACAGCTTTTCTTCCATCTGTCATGACCTACCAGAATTCCATTTGTAGCCAGTTCTAGTTCTGTCTCTATTTTTTTCTTGGCATAGTACCCACACCCATAACTTCAACTATTACTTCTAGGATGTTGACTGCGATTATGTTTAAGTAGAGATCTTCCTCTGGTTCTAAAGCATTCTCTCTCTTAATATCCCTCAATTTTTTTCATTAGGATTTTCTGGTTCTAGTAGTAGCAGTTGATACCCTGCTCTATAAGGGCTTAACTGGGGGGGGACATATTGGAGGTAGGAAAGGCAAAAAAGGAAGTGATGTTATTAGATTTAATTTTTTTAATTAAAAAAATGTAGGGCCATTGAATTTTAACAAATATCTATTGGTACCTTATTTATGTAAGAGGCTGTGCTGGGAGGAAGGTAGTCATTTTAGAGGTGTGAGATAGCTATGGCAGTAACTGGCTTAAAAGGATTATCCATAATATGGTATCATTTTGCACATAAATTATCATAGGTGGAAACCCAAATTTCAATAATTTAATGAAATACAACAGACCTTGTAAGCAGTGCATCTTATGAAAAGAGAGTTCTTATGAGGTTATGGATTGAGATTTCTCCACTAGAAAACAATGAGGGCAGTAGTGAAAAAGTGTGGTTTCGTTTGTGAATCGGCAAAGTGGCATAGTCTTAAGGTATTGAGTGATGCCTGTCAAAGAAATCCCGAAGCCTTTTCTGTTCCCTGCACCTTCTAGTAACTATTTCTGGTCCCTTACCATATAACATAGAATATAACAAACCACAATAGTAAGATGAGTCATTGTTTTCCATAACCCTAAAAAAGAAATAAAATCTTGCCAATTAAACATGGAGTGCCACCAGTTGTCTGTTTTCAGAGAGATCTTGGCTGTTGGAATGAGAAAAAAATACAGTGAGTTTTCGAAGATGACAAAATTTTTAAAATATGAAGTAAACAGAGATCTTGGTTTGTATGACACATGATAAATTTATTGTGCATCATTTTCCACACTCGGCTTTCAATTTTAACACTGTAATCAATAAGTCAATGTACTTGTACACAGCTTCTTAGATGATTGTACCCCTTTCATGGCTCAGTGATGTGCGTAAGCCACTGCAGTGTAAAACGCGTAATTTCTTTGGTTACAGCACCCCCGCGTCCATCCCACGCAGCCATTCATTAACACGTGCCCAGTTGGCAAGTTACAGGCAAATTAGTATTTTTTAAATTAAACTGTATAAAACTCGCATACAGCTAATTAAACTGTTGGAGAGATGTGCTGTGGAAAAGCATTTTAGTAAATATGCACTTTTTTGCATTCCATTCTCGTGGAAAGGTTAAAATGGGCTGGGGAATGGAGCGGTGAGGAGGCGGAGAAGGGATATACGTCTCAGGATACAGGAAATACGGTAACAGCGAAACCAGGAGGAAGCCAGCCGTGCCTGGAGGGGATCCGCCATCTCAGATCTCGGCCTTGCCAGGGCCCACCGGAGAAAATTAACGCTCTGGTCTGGTCATACCTATGGGGGACCAACCTTGTGCCTCCGGGAGATCCACGCTCCCACCAGGAAATACGCGGGAACCGAAGCCTCCAAAAAAGCGCTGTGTCCTGGCTCCTCGGTGGGATTATCCTGAAGGGACTCCCAGTGGTGGTAGTACCACTCTCCCCTCGGCGCCTCCTCCTGCATCTGCTGGACTCAAGTCGCACCCTCCTCCTCCGGAGAAGTAGTGAAATAGATTTTTTTCCCAGCCGAAATCAGGTCAGATTCTTTCTTTCTCATCTGGGACAATCAGGCTCTCTGAAACTTAATTATGCCTTTTCTCAGCTTTTCCCCATTTTCTTGTTCTTTCCACAAATTCAAGAAGAAGAGAAACATCATACAGGCGTTGAAAAGCCTTCCTTTTTCTTTTTCTTTTTTTTAAGTATGCTTGGATGGAATGGGTATTTGACTGCATTGAGTAATTAAGATATTTTACATGAGTTATTTGTAATTTTTAAAAACTGCAGTATTTTGATTTTTGTGACAGGCCAAAGTGTAGGGAGATACTAAAAGAATGTTCACTGGCTGATAAATTAAAACTGGCTGGGGATTTACTATACTCTTCTCTCTATTTTTGTGTATATTGAAATTTTTTTCCATTTAAAAATGCTTAGCTGAAGACCAAGAGTAAGGATGGACTGAAGGCCTAATGCCTGTACCCAGAGGAGATTATAAAGTGAGCTTTGAGAACTAGGTTTTTTTTTTCCTGTGTAAGATGGGATTTAGTAAGTAAAAGGAAGTTATAATATGATGATCAAACCCAACTACCATAAAAATGTGCTTGTTCAAGGTATTCAGGAATCATGGAGGTTGGAGATGGCTCTTGATGGAGCAAGGATGCCTGTTAGTCATCAAGAGCCATCAAAGAGGAAGAAGGAATTTTGGGGTGGGCCTTAAAGAATGAATGACATCTACCATATGTGTTGGGATACATTTTAGGCCTAGTGTTTCCAGAATGAAAGGCAGAGGGCAAGATTGTTCTGGGGCAGCGTGGCTGTAATTCTAAGTCTGAGAGAAGTGTGATACAGGGCTGTAGGCCTTGACTGTTTTGCTAAGGAGTACGCAGTTTATTCTTGATAAATGAGTAGCATAGGAGATTTCCAAATAAGTACTATTTGTGTTTTAAGACTCTAATTCTTATTTTCATGAAACTAATAGCCTATTTGAATGAGGTTTATGTTAAAAAGAAAACAAACAAACAAGTTTGACTCAAGGCTCACAATTCCTTCTTCATCTCATACCATAAATCTTTATGGGGTCCTTGCTTTGGTTAGGCCTTGTACAGGGAGGTGTGGGGGACAGATGACCAGAGCATAGCAGGAGTAAAATAGATATTTGAGCTAGTCACTGAATAACATTGGCAACTGTGCATGTTCTGGGTATCAGGTTTGTTTTGCTAAAGCATAAAAAAAAATGGAGTCCCATTTCACCTAAAAGTGGATTGTCATTCCAATAGGCCCATCCTTCCCTCATTTTTACCTCTATTCAAAGGAAAAATGGTAATTTAACAGGCCATAGGGAAAGAAATGCTCACCTAGAAAACAAAGGGGACTATTCAGGGTAAGAAGTGTTTAGGAGCTACGTAATTTCTCCCCGGTGATTTAAAGCATACACAATTGTAATGGCGGATACTTGTTGAATTTGTGTGTGTGTGCCATCTTTTTCTAAAGGATTTCGCATGCTTGTGTTTAATTACAACCCCACTAAAGGATGTTTGTATAGGCCTATAAGTTGCCACAAGTTATGAGACACTTAAGTGGCCATGTTGTGTTTTGATTAAAAAAGAAAATGCTTGGTTCCAGAATTGATGCTCTTAGCTGCTGTGCAGAACAGACTCCCTAATTCTGTGTACCCAGTTATTTAATAGGAATGCGTCATTGAGTTGGGAACTGAAAGGGACATATGGAACTGAAAAGGCTAGGGGAAAATGAGACAGATAAGTGACAGAAGAAAGGACTTCACCTTCTTTTCCTGTTTTCCAGTTTGTGAGGGATTGCAGTATGGCTCCGTTTCCTTGGTGCGTTTGTAAAATAGTTCACCCACTGAAGACCATGAAGATTCTTTCCAATGCTATCCTGCTTTTGCTGGTGTCCTGCACCTGGAAGTTGTGATGCTAAAGGTAATCTGTTTTTTTTTTTTTAATAAAAATGCCCGTAAAGGAGGAAAAGGAGTTGATAATGGCATGTTCAAAATAATTGGACAAACCCCCAAAAGCTAGTGGTAAGGATAAATTGAAACATTTTCTAAAGTATATGAAACCATATGCACTAAAAATAAAAGTGTAAATCTATAAAACAGCTTAGTAAATGTACTGCTGACTGATTACTTTATAGTTTCTATTCTTACTGAAAAGTGAGTCTTTTTAAACGCCATTTTTTAATTGTTGCTAGTTAAGGGGAAAATGATGGGTACCTTTATACCAATTTTATAACAAGTATCCTTTCTGAATTATTTTATTTTCTCTAGTAATAAGCTGTTCTTAAATTATATATTATAATGGCTCTGCCTTCTTTTCTAATGTGTATTTTTTAGTTTGTCCAAGAAAATTAGTTGTTTTTTTTTCTTTTTTTGAGACAGGGTTTCTCTATGTAGCCCTGGCTGTCCTGGAACTCACTCTATAGACCAAGCTGGCCTTGAACTCAGACATCGACTGCCTCTGCTTCCCGAGTGCTGGGATTAAAGCCACTGTCTAGCTAGAAATTATGTTGTATTCCTAGTTTTGTGAATGGGTATGGAATTTTTTGTTTTGTTTTCACGAACTAATTTGTCTGTATCTACTTGCATAAGTATATTTTCCTCATTCCTATAACAATGTGATGACAAATTACAGTAATTTTTAATGAATTTCCTTATTTTGATTTTTAACAAGGCTTCCACATTCTTTAGGGGTGGGAGGACATGGCAAATATTAGTCTTTAGGACTCATGTACTTTCTGTCTTTTGTTTGGTCAAGTTTTTGTTGTTGATGCTATTTTGTTTTGAGACAAGAGGTGTTACTGCCACCTGATCAAGATGGGCTGCCTGGTCAGCCAGCCCAAGTGATCAGCCTTCCCCAGCACTGGAGGCCATGTCCAGCTTTTATTTAGGTGCTAGAGATAGAATTTAGGTCTATGGGCTTGCATAGCAAGCAGTTTACTTTTTATTTTCTGAACCATCTCTCCAGCCCTGCTTTCTTCTCTCTTAGTCATTTTATCTGTATTTCTTTTTCTTCTAGTTTCTTCTTGTTTGTTCTTTTTCTAATTTAGTGAATTGGGCTCTAGCTGATTAGTATTTCTTTTCTAAAGTGAAAAGTTAAAACTACAAATTATTCTCTACAGTTGGTAAGGATTTCACAGGTTTGTATATATTATTTTGTTATTATATTTCAATAATTACATTTTTATAATGTGTCTAATGATTTTTTAAATTTGGGCATTTTATATGTATGGGTATTTTGTCTATATGTATATATATATGTACCATGTGTATGCCTGGTACCTATGGATGTCAGAAAAGAGCATCACATTCCCTGGAACTGGAGTTACAGATGGCTGTGAGTTGCCATGTGGGTGCTGGGAACAGAGCCCCATCCTCTGCAAGAGCAAGAAGCACTCTTAACTTCTGACTCATCTCTCTAGCCCCAGACCATGACATTTTATTTTTATTTTTTAAGTTTAACAGTTATTTATGCATTCTTTTAAACATGAAACCATTAGCCAAATTATAATTAAAATTTTTTTCTCTACTTTAAAGTATTTTTTAGTCCTTTTATTATTATTATTATTTTATTTTGGTTTTTCGAGACAGTGTTTCCTTGTGTGCCCTGGTTGTCCTAGATTTGCTCTGTAGACCAGGCTAGCCTTGAACTCATAGAGATTGCCTACTTCTGCCTCCTGGGTACTGGGAACAAGGCACCACAGCTGCCTAGCTTTTTAATCCTTCTTGTAACAAAAAAGAAATGTATATAGTTGCTGTGCATCTCAATAGAGTTTGATAATATAAAACTTTTCTTGCCAGGGAGGGTGGTGCATACCTTTAATTCCAGTATCCAGGAGGCAGAGACGGGTGTTACTCATAGGTCAAACTCCATGAGTTTGAGACAGTCTAGTTTACATAATGAGTCAGGCCACCCTGGGCTACATAACGACAGCTTATCTACAAACAAAACAAGACAAAAGCTTTTTTCTTTCCTTAAGTGAAAAAATCATGGTTAGGATGTTTATTGGTCAATTGAAGTCCTTGGTTAAACTATGAGGATAGTATAGTTACCCTTTATCCACATTTATTAACATGGCTTGCCACATATGTTCTACCATTTTCTTTCGTTTTGCCACCTAGAAGGAATTTGCAGCTGTATTTCTGCTTTGCTTACTTCTTCACTGTGTTTACTTGGACTAAATACTTTCTCATACATTACCTGTTTTCTTGGTTGAAGTTGCAATCCAGGATGACGTATTACACTTAGGTTTTGTTTGTGTCTTTCCAGTTGTTGATCAGGAAGTTTCTTCAATTTCTTTAATCTTCTTTGTCTTTGTTGACATTGACAATTTTTCAAAATAAAAGACAAATATTTTGTAGGGGGCTCCTCGATTTAGGTGTGTGTGTTATTTCCCCATTTTGACGTTTTGATGATGTACATTGGCAGGAAGACCACAGAAGTCACGTTAAGTGTTTCTTTCAGAATCATATTCGGAGCTTGCTCGTGATACAGATGTCATGTCAACATTGATTTCTTAGCTAAGTTGTTGGGTTTCTGTTAGATTAACCCAATCATTTTGCCATGAATACTTGGAGACTATAACTTTTCTGTTTCTCATCATACTATCTTCTAGTATTTTTTTTTTTGCATCTGTTCATTATTCTTGGCTAAATGTTTTTACTGTGACTACAAAAGAATGCTTCAAGCCCCATCTTTTTTACTGAATTCACTAGTTTATATTCTACTTGAAGAGAAGGCTTTTCTCCATGTCTTATATTTAGACACCTAAGTTTTTGTGTTATTTTATTAATAATAGCCTTTTGCTGTCATAATTATTTTATTCAGTGTGTCTTCTCCATCCTTTGGCGTGCTCACCATTCTTCGACAGATAATTAGACTTATGTTAACATTTCTTTTCTTCCTTACTTTCAGGCTCATCTTATATTTTCTACCCCATTGACCATTTCTCTATTTGACTGTGCCACTGGGAGACCGTATTTACAAACTGAGGTGTGGAACTATGGATTTTTTTAATCTTTTGTTATTTCACATTTAAGTTCAGAGTGCAAACATTGTTTCATAGTTGTTGAAATTTGCCTTATGCCTTAGAGAACATAATCACTACTATGTTTTGTGTGTTTGTAAAGGGTTTGTGTATTCCAACTGTTCTATATAAGGGTCTATAAATATCTGTTAAATGTATTGCCTTGTTATATAAATCTTCTATATCCACAGTAAAGTATAGGATACACCTTTTATCATTTGGGACCCCTTTCTTAAATCTTTTATTAAAACCTATTTTATTTGCTATTAATACAGATACAACAGGTCCACATTGTGGAAATTGAATTTATTTTTCAGTTCTTTAATCTAGTCACCTTTTTATTGAGACACGGTCTCTCTATGTAGCCCTGGGTAGCCTGGAACTCACTATGTAGACCAGGCTGGCATGCTGAGAGTAAAGGTATACACCACCATGACTGGCCCCATTCAATATTTTATATGACATTTTACTTGTTTATTCTTTGTGTCTATGTCTGTGGTAGGGGTATGTGCATATGTGTGTGGGCATGTGTGCTATTGTTTATTTGTAGTGACTTGTGCACAGTGTTAAGGAATATGCTTTCTACCTGGTGGGTCCTGAGAATCAAACTCACCTCTTTGTGAGGTTTGATGGTTATAGCCCTTACCTCCTGAGCCGTTTGCCCATCCTACCTACATTCTATTTTGTTTGTTGTATTTTTTAGAAAACATTCTGCCAAAACTGTGAATGCAGTGATTTGTTTCTGAATTTCCCAATAAGATTTATATTTAGTAGTAAGGATTAACTGTCTAAATACTTTTTTCCTTTTTATATGTTTAAAATCTTTCATATACAATCTGTTGTTTGTAATTTACCTATAAAGTCTCTATTTACTGAATATATAATATATGCATATACATATATACATACATTCACACATACATATACACTTTTGCTAATATGAAGAACAAGGGCATAGGAATTACTGTAGTATTGCTATGTAAAATATCTTACACATCAAGCTTTCTTCACGTTTTCTTCACAATGCCCTTTGTTGCTTTCATTTGTTTCTATCATCATGTGTTACATTTACTTATCATAAATCTTTGGTCCTCTAACCTCTAAAATAACACTTTTCTGTATCCTGATTTTAATTTTTCATGCCATGGGCATTCTTGTGTCCAGATAAGTTGTCCTATATATATCCACAATCTGGGTTTGTCTGACTCGTTCATTCTACCATGAATAACTTAGGCAGTTTTAGCCAGAAGAGTACATAGTTGATGCTCTAGCTTTCCTATCACATTTCATGAAGACGTGTCAGATGGTAGTTTTATCACAAGGATCTTGATGCTTTTGGTAATTTCCTGGATAGCTAGGCAGATACTTTTTTCTTATTTTTTCAATATGTAATTTTAGCCTTTGGGACACACATAGAATTATAGCTTATAATTAATACCCTATACTTCCTCTTGGTTGCCTCTTTGCAGAAGCAGACAGTATTAAAAAGGAGTGCTCATATTTATTCTTCCCTCATGTTTTCCTGCTTCAAATTGTCTATTTAGATTGGCTGGCTGTCAGGAGTTGTTTTTTGGTTTTGTTTTTGTTTGTCTTTTTTAAGCAGCCTATGCACAGTCTCTTTAACACATTTTTCATGGAGGTTGGTCTTTCTTTTCTTTTTTTGTGGTAAACATTTCTTTTTATTTTATGTTGTGTGTATGGGTATTTGGCTTGCATGTGTGTCAATGTACCAATTTTTTTGCTACATAGCCTTGACTGGCTTGGAACTCCCTTTGTACACAAGGCTGATCTGAAACTCATAGCTATCCACCTGCCTCTGCTTCATGAGTTCTGAGATTAAAGCCATGTGCCATTATGCCTTGCCCACTCCTTTTTTGCTATATATTATATTTTCTTGCATTTCTTAATTTATTATGAATTTAGGGCTCAAAACAACTTCATTATATTATATTGCTGTAGATCAGAAGTCTGGTGTAAGTGCCATCTGATTACTCAAAATGCTGGCCAGATGCATTCCTTTCCAGAGGCTCTAGAAAAGAAGTTGTTTTCTGCTTAGTTGTTGGCACAATTGAGTTCCTTACAAAGGTAAGAGTAAGATCCCCGTTTTCATGGTGGATATCTGCTATGGGTGTTCCCAGCACTTATAATCTTTTCATTCATGATCCTCTTTCAGTGTCTCCAAAGCCAACTGCAGGTTGAATCCCTCTCACCCTTAAAATTTCTCCATTTCTTATTCTCATCCACCCTCTCTCTGACTCAGAGGAAAAGGGCTTCTGTGTTTAAATATACATCCAGTCAGAGTATGCCAGCCAATGAATCCAGAGGAAATTCTTCTGTCTTGAAATTCATAACCAAATTACGTCTGCAGAGTTCTTTTACCTTGTAAATTGATAGTCACCAGTTCTGGGAATTATGATGTAAACTCCTTTATGTAGCTGTTATTCTGCTTTCCACACATTCCATTATAGCAGCTAACTATAACCCAATACTGTGCATTCCTTTATATATTTCCACACATTCCATTATAGCAGCTAACTGTAACTCAGTGTGATCATTCATTCTTTCATTCAACCAACATAAGTAGTTTTAAAAACATATATTAAAGTGAACATGTGTTATATTACAGACATTGTACCAGGTGCTGATACTGCAAAAACTAAGATATCTAATTCACACACTAAAGCCATAAGGTGGTTTTGTAAGTTCTGTAGGATTGGCACATAATGTTGTAAGAGAATGCAAGAGGTCTAGATGAGAAGTACCAGGATGGATTCTTTTGTGTGGATCAATGTTTGTGCTGGATCATAACAAGTAGTCTTAATATTAAGGTGAGAAACCTTAAAAGGATGTATCCGTTTTTTGTTTCAGTGATAAAATACCATGACCAAAAACAATGGAAGGAAGAGAGGAAGGATTTATTTTGGTTTAAGGTTCCAAAAGAATAGAGTCCCTAATGGTGGGGAATGTATGACAGCAGGCAGCTGGAGCAGGAGGCTGGCTGATGACATTTTATCCAGACACGTAGGAAGCAGAGAGAGCTAGATGGAAGTGGGGCAAGCCTATTAATAATCCTCAATGTTCACCCCTAGTTAGTTGCTTTCTCCAGAAAGGCTCTACCTCATAAAGGCTCTATAGCATTTCCTGAAATTCAGAAGTCTGGCCCTGAACTCTCAAGCACCAGTCCTGCCCCAGCCTCCCAAATAGCTATGATTACAGGCATGTGCTACCATGCCCATAATATTTCCTAACAGTACCAAGCAACTGGGGACCAGGTATTCACATATAGAGTTCATTTCTCATTTTAACCATCACCCCTTCCCCCAAAATGGAGAATACTTTAAGTAGTGAAACTGCTGTGGCCAGAAGTATAGAGCTCAAGATAGCCTGTTCTTTTAGAGAGTGTGGATAATTAGAGCTAAAGATGCAATTCGTGTAACTTCCTGGGATGTCGGAATGAACCTATCGAGTGATGTGAAACATGACTATGAAGACTTGTGTTCTTTACTAAATAGTTTGCAGATAAATCAGTAAGAAATAGAAAGTCGTTACAAACTTTTAAGGAAAGGCAAGTTTGGTGGCACACTCCTTTAATCCCAGCACTTGGGAAGTAGAGGCAGGTGGGCTGCTGTGAGTTCAAGACCAAACTGGTCTACATAGTGAGGTCCAGGCTAGCCAGGGCTATATAGTGAGATCCTGCTCAAAAAACAACAAAAGCTAAAACAACAAAAACAAACAAACCCCAAAACAAACAAACAAACAAACCCCACCACCACCAAAGCAAACTTTAAGAATAGTGCTGTGTTCACATGTATACCCTAATTCCCCAACTTCTGCTTGAAGAAGCCAATATTTGTTCCATCTTTGTAATTAATTTTATTTTAGATCCCAGTATTTGTATTTGCTTGCACAGGTCAGGTATCAAAATAGTAGACACACTCTGAAATCTCAGTATCACTAAATTCCACCTGGTTGATTGGGAAAACCAGTAGCGTGAACAAAAACTTTGCTGTTCTTACCACCACCCCCCATTTATAGAAAAGAGATTCTTTTCTCATACAATATATCCTGATTATAGTCTCCCCTCCATCTACCTCTCTCAGTTCCTCCCCTACTCCCAGGATCCACTCCCTTTCTGTTTCTGATTAGAAAAGAACAGGCTTCTAAGAGATAACAAGAAAACACAAAATACAGTAAGAGAGAACAAAAGCTATCATATCAAAGTTGGACAGGACAAATCAACAGAAGGAAAAAAGCACAAGAGAAGGCAAAGAGAATCAGAGATCCTACTAGTTCACACACTCAGGCGCCCCATAAAAACATTAAAAATAATTAAAGCCATAATATATAAGCCGAGGACCTGGTGCAGACCTGTGCAGGCCCTGAACTTGCCGCTTCAGTTTCTGTGAATTCATGTGAGCTTGGCTCCTGTTGATTCAGACGGCCTAGTTCTCCTGGTGTCTTCCATCTCTTCTGGCTTGTTCACTTGCTCTGCCTCCTCTTCTGCAGTGTCCCCTGAACTCTGAGAGGTGGGATTTGATGGAGACATTCTATTGAGAGCAGTATGTTCCAAGGTCTCTCACTCTCTGTTAAATGTCTGGCTGTGAGTCTCTGGATTTGTTCCCATCTGCTTCAAGTGGAAGCTTCTCTGATGATGGCTGAGCAAGCGCTGGTCTATGAGTATAGGACAACATCTCTTGGAGTCATTTTATCACTTTCTTTAAAGGCCAGTAGGAAGGGTCCTTTGGAAATTCATAAACAACCCAGGCCATTGCCAAGATAATAAGTTGCTCTCCACAAACTGACAGTAAGGCCCCATTCCTGGAGACAATACCCACACATTTCATTGAACATGGATAGGTCTAGCTGGTGCCTACATAGAACCTTCAACCCTGTGTTCTAGTATCTTTTGTATGGAAAGGTACTCTGCAGGCTACCAAAGGAGAAATGTATACAGCAACCCAGCCCC